AGATTCTCAAAAAGTCTACAACAAGCTCATTCAGATATAAAGATTTGACTGATGTTCCACTCAGTGTTAATTGGGTTGAGCAAGGAGCCGTCACTGAAGTTAAGAACCAAAAAAATTGTTGTAAGTAGAAACATCTTTTATTACAATTTAAAATTTTTTAATTTAAGATTTTTTTGTTCATTTTTAAAATGTGTTATCTTCTTATTCAAATGTTAGTCAAGTTAAAATATAGTATTTCTTATGAAAATAACGTTTAATTTTGTTTTACTCTTCTACAGTAAAAAAAAAAAAAATGAATTTAACTAAACTATAACTATATTATAGCTATGTTCTCATATGCTTCTTTTCTGCTGTTCAAAGATATCTCCAAATCGCTTCTCTTTCTTGGTTTCAGATCAACTAGCAATTCTTGTCAAATTAAAATTTATCCCTATAAATATATATATAGTTATTTATCATAACTATTTTTGCTTGTAGTGTCTTGTTGGGCATTTTCAGCTGTAGCAGCAATTGAAGGTATCACCCAGATTAAAACAGGTGAATTGATATCTTTATCCGAGCAACAACTAGTAGATTGTGTATCAGATAACCATGGATGTTTTGGTGGTTGGCCAAATAATGCATTCGAGTACGTAAAAAATAATGGAATCACCACCGAAGCAAATTACGGATATACAGCAAGCGACAACGGAGTTTGCAATTCGGAAACTCCTATCGTCAAGATCATTGATTAGGAAGATGTACCAGAAAATGATGAGAGATCATTACAGGAAGCTGTAGCAAATCAGCCTGTCTCAGTTGCCATTGATGCCCGTGGAAGTGATTTTCAATTTTATTCAAGTGGGATTTTTACTGGAAGCTGTGAAAATTCACTGACTCATGCAGTAACAATAGTAGGTTATGGGAGTGAAAATGGAATGGATTACTGGTTGGTTAAAAATTCATGGGGTCAAAATTGGGGTGATGCTGGTTACATGAAAATTCAAAGAAATGCTGCTGTGGAAGGAGGACTCTGTGGGATTGCAATGGCAGCTTCTTATCCAATGGCTTAATTAAACTTATAATATATATATATATATATATCTACTAGTGTTTCTTTCAAAAAGTTCTCTACATGTGTGGTGTGTTTTGGCCAATTTTTTGTTATGACATTGCTAGTTTTTTAGCTGGTAATTTGTTTCAATTTTATTAATGGAGTTTAACTATGAAATATATACATACATATATATATATATATATGTTGTTATTTTATGTAGAATCCTTGTTCTTGAACTAATAATATTATAATATCGTTAACGCAAACCAGTTCTCATATTCAACCAAATTCATACTGAAAATCGCAGCCAGCCACAGAGTATTTTGACATGATTCTATAAGCTGGTAAAGAAATAGATTAAATTAATAATGACATCATAATTAGAAAAGAGAATATAAATTAAAAGGGAAAATACTATATATATACATATATTGTATACATTACATTGGAGAATACCTTATATATTAAAGAAAAAATTAACTAGCTTGTAAAAAACGTAGAGCTAAATGCAGTATTTTAAGTGCATGAATTTTTAAGCAATTAACTATTAAAATTTTAAATTGTATCCAATTAAATGTTTAGTTTAGCATTACATAATTTTTAATTTAATAGAATAAATAATTTAATTCAATAGCATATTAGAGATATTGTATGACTAAATTAAATTAAATATCAATGAATTATTAAATTTCTGTATAAAAATAATATTATAAAATAATTAAGTTTTCTATTTTAACATAATTATAATGAATTAAAAATTTAATACAAATTTTTTATTTAAAATTAATGATATTAAATATTGTACGACATGATACATACATTTGGCTTACTATATGCCATACTAATGTCACACTATATGTTAATATATATATATATATATATATATATATAATAAGGAAGATGGGCATAAGCTTCTTGATTTTTTTTTGGTTACTGTTTAAGTAAAATATGATGTATATATATGTATACACTAATTTATTTAACATGTTACATAACGCAATATTTTATACCAAATGCAGAATCAACTATTTCCAAATCTCTACCAAGATAGTAAAATGACAATAAAAATGTATAACTAGAGTAACTGATTATATATATATATATATACACTGGTTAAATTTAATGTGTTGTCATATTTTTTGATTTCACTTACTATACATTTCTCAAGTTTTTATAGTAATTAAATATATCTTTGAAATAAAATAAAAAAATAAATATGTATATATGAACATAATATATAAATCAATAATTACATAATACAAAATATTTTATATTAACATATTGAAAAAAGCACATTAAAATCATGAGGGTTTTCTTGCATAACCATAGGAAGCGTATACGTTAAGAAGGCATATATATATAAGGTAGCTCTTCCGTAAGGCAAAGCTGTGAAAGAAGAAAGCTAGTTCATTAATTCAAACAATTCCACGATTGAAATTAAGCAAATAACCATAAGCTAAAATTGCAGTTTATTTATAGTAGTTATATACAATCCATTATCAATATTACCCATATATATATATATGTGTGTGTGTGTATAGCTAAATGCCAATTGTTTAATTGACTTATACGGCAGATTAAAGAAAGAAAAATTTCCAACTCTTTTTCCACGCAAATTGCTTTTCAAAACCCTACATGAAATGAAATAATCTAAAGCTGTTCCTCATCAGTATCCTCTACATAAATTATATATGTATATGTATATATGCCTACATTCTCCTCTCTCCTTCTCAAAGCTCAAACCGTTGATACAATCTCCAGCAAGTATTAGTTAATGGCTTTAAGATTTGAAACAAAAGTCATCATCATCACCTTGGTGATGATACTAGGAATTATGAAATTTCCAGCCATGTCGCGCACACTTCAAGACACTTATGTTGCCGAGAAACACCAAGAATGGATGATTAAATATGGGCGTGTTTACAATGATAACGCAGAGAAGGAAATTCGTTTTAAGATATTCAATGATAATATCGTATTTTTAGAAAATTTTAAAATTACAGAAAATTTTATTTATCAATTAACTCTTAATGAATTTGCAGATATGACTAACGAAGAATTTTTAGCATTTCATGCAGGATTTAAGATATCAATACAGTCCATAGGAATGCACCGAACAAATTCATTCAGATATAAAAACTCAACTGATGTTCCACTTAATATCAATTGGGTTAAACAAGGAGCTGTCACCAAAGTTAAGGACCAAAGTCTTTGTGGTAATAATTTTTTAGCAAAATTTCAAATATAATTCATTAATTATATGACATATACACAAATAATAACACAAATTTCTAATGAGAATACACAATACACATGACCCACAACTCAAACTCACAAACATGGTTTGTGTCTTTGTGGTAGTTAAATACATTCACAATCATATATTTGTGTGTATATATAATTATTGAACTATTTAGCTATGTTTTGACTGATTTGCTTGCAGGATGTTGTTGGGCATTTTCAGCAGTGGCAGCAATTGAAGGTATTATCCAAATCAAAACAGGCAAATTAGTATCGTTGTCTGAACAAGAACTAGTAGATTGTGTATCAAAAAGTGATGGATGTTCTGGTGGTTGGATGAATTATGCATTCGAGTACGTAAAAGAAAATGGCATCACCACTGAAGAAAATTACGAATACAAGGCAAATGATGGACATTGCAACTCGATAAAATCCATCATCCCAGCTGCCAATATCACAAATTATGAAAACGTACCACAAAATGATGAGAGAGCATTACAGCAAGCTGTAGCAAAACAGCCTGTCTCAGTTGCTATTGATGCCCGTGGAAGTGAGTTTCAGTTTTATTCAAGTGGGATTTTTAATGGAGTTTGTGGAAATTCACTGACTCATGCAGTAACCATAGTAGGTTATGGAAGTGAAAAAGGAATAGATTATTGGTTAATTAAGAATTCATGGGGTAAAACATGGGGTGATGCTGGCTACATGAAGATTAAAAGAAATGGTGGTGTACCAGGAGGACTCTGCGGTATTGCAATGCAAGCTTCCTATCCAATTGCTTAATTAAGCTAACATATTACATATATTTATGTAAACATAAGTACCTTCTAATAAGTATGTGGTAAGCCAATTGCTGATTGATCTTGTTCTTTTACTTAGTGAATTTATAAAAACAGAAACAATAAACATATAACACAAGAAAACACGTAATGAAATGCCATAATGTGCCTCCTTCACTCTTTTGTTATAATTTAGACCCAACCCCAAGGACAAATCTAAAAAGAAATCAAAAGATATTAATAAGCTATCTTTGAAGCTAAAACACGTCTCTCCAGTTAAATTTCATATGTCATATCTAAACAGACTCGTAAAAAATGAACGAAATAAAATGATGTCATACATAAATAGAACACTTCTTCAACAACATAAGATTCTATTACTAACTCCAGCATCAACTAAAAGATTTATTTTGAAAATTTTTTTTAAAAAAATTACTTTTATATTTTGAGGTTGACACTGAATTTATTTTAAAATTTTCAAAAAAAAAGTTATTTTTATGTTTTGAGGCTGACACTGAATTTATTTTATAGAACTGTTTATATTCCACCATTAGAAACCACACTCGGAACTTAACTAGTCATTTCTCTTGCCATATCCATCAAAACTATAGCCTTTAACCATAGTAAAAGAGGATTACTCTTTTGTAATTCATCACATTGATATATATGCTAGCATCTTCAAAGTGTAGGGTCCGAATAAAGATAAAATTAATTGTGTAAAT